GATTTTGCCACCATATAGTTGCCCCTTGCTGACCATTAGAAAGAATGCAGCTTGTATGCACTTCATCACAGGACCTGCAAAACTAATGGGGGAGGGGTGTGTGTGTTTTGTTTTTGTTTTTTTCTTTAAACAGACGTGTTGCATTCCATGGCATTATGATTGCAAATACAAATTTTTGCAGATGCAGTAAAGTAAACCTATGGTCGTTTGAAAATGATGATAGTGAATTCTTACTGGTCTGAATTGATACATCCAAACAAAGTACAACAATTAAGCCAAACACACAGGTTAAATGTGACCAAATGAAGATTTGTGTGAAGACATGTAGAAACTGTAGCTCAGTTCTCCTCCCTCCTCTCCGGCCTTGTGTCTTCCATCCACTTCCCCTCCCTTTGTTCTGGATCGTGATGGCACAAATGAAATTAACAGCGATCGCAGAGCTGCTTATTCATCAGCTTCCAGATAATTTGAATGACAAAACCCTGTTACAGCGCGTATCAAGTATAAAAGCTGTCTGGCAGCCACAGGTTGTTGGACAGTTTCCCACAAATACAGAACATCAAACATGGGCAAGGTATGCAGAGAGCAGACCGGAAAACAAGCACTTTTCAAATTTAAGACAAACTCTGCAGATGAACAATGGAGAGAAATAAAAGAGAAGGTCAGCTCTGACATCTTTTCTAAATCAATTTTGTAACGTTTTTTCTTTCTTTTCCACAGATCATCTTCTACGAGGACAGGAACTTCCAGGGTCGCTCCTATGAGTGCATGAGCGACTGCTCTGACATGTCCTCCTACCTGAGCCGCTGCAACTCCTGCAGGGTGGAGAACGGCTGCTTCATGGTCTACGATCGCCCCAACTACATGGGGAACCAGTATTTTCTGAGGAGGGGCGAGTACTCGGATTACATGTCTTTTGGCATGAGTGACTCTATCCGATCCTGCCGATTAATTCCTCAGGTACTCAGGGATTACAACAAGGAAAACATGTCTAGTTCATATAATATCATAGTTTATATGATATTAGAAACTATGATATTGTTGAGCTGATGAAACTGCTTTTCACACACTAAGTCTGCAAATCTGATATCAGCAACATTTCACTGTAGCCTTTAACGGTCCAACGTTTCCTCTCCTCCTTTAACTAACAGCACAGAGGCTCTTACAGGATAAGGATCTATGAGAGGGAGAACTTCCAGGGCCCGAATCACGAGCTGATGGACGACTGCGACAACATCATGGACCGCTACAGCCTGTCTGACTGCCAGTCATGCAATGTGATAGATGGCCACTGGCTGATGTACGAGCAGCCCCACTACAGAGGCAGGATGGTCTACCTGAGACCTGGAGAGTACAGGAGCATGAGAGATATCGGATATAGTGGCATGAGGCTCAGCTCTGCTAGACGTATAATGGATTCCTGTTGATGCAAAGGAAAATAATGCGCTGAATAATAAAGTGAAAGATTAAACTAATGCCATCTGATATTGAGTAGATTTGTGATGTACGTGTGTGCGGGTGGGTGTGTACGTGTTTGTGTGTGACTGTGTATTCATATCTCTGTGGGGACCAAAACTGTAAGTTTACTATACTTTTGGGAACCAACAATTCTTATGGGGACAGAATCCCAGTCCCCACAAGTTTAAAGGTATTTTTCAGACTCAAAATGTGGTTTTAGTGTCAGGGTTACAATTAGGTTATGGTTAGGGTAAGGAGCTAGGGAAGGCATTATGTCAGTTAGACGTTCCCACAAAGATATGAATACATGGTAGTGTGTGTGTGTGTGTGGGGGGGGGGGGGGGGGGGGGGGGGGGGGAGTCGGGTGTCAACTACACTGTAATATATGAACTCATGCTAAAAAGCACACTACAGAGCTATAATAGCATACATAATAGAGGGATATTCAATTCCTCTAATTTCTAATGCAATTCTAGTTTATTTATAATAATCACAAAAATAGTTGCCCCAATCTCCATTAGAGAAGATCCTACAATGCATACAATAATAATACAAGAGCACATGTGTAACTTAAGACAGTATTATATCTGCTATGAAAATATCATGTTGCAGAAATATGTACAAAATGCAGTTAAATTACACATTGTCACAACAGTGTATATAAAAGATGTGTGCCTTAAACCAGATTTCTTTCTCCAACAGGAGGTGCCGCCTCTTGTTGCAAAAAGAATTGCAAAAATCTAAAATAAAATTCCCATTTATTTCTCTTGATCTCAGGCCAAACTAAACAGTTCATGATCTCAAGTTTCTTTATATCTAGTTTCAAGTCATGCTTCTCCTTTTGTAAAATATGGTCAATATGAGAGTCAAAATGATAAAAAAGCAGGATATGCATTTCCTTGATTGTCATGTCATGTTTCAAAAGCAATGGTGAAGACACTCTGGATTTTATATGCTACACAGGTTACAACACACAGTTTAGACTGAATGATTTGTATTCACAATAAATGTTATTAGTAATATCACACATACAATTAAACACGCTTCTTCTGGGCTATATTCTCAGCAGCATATTAAACATATCAGCTCCCCATAAGGAGAATCATGTGCTAACGGCTGTCTAAATGACTCGGGTAAAGTTTGTAGCATGCGTGCTTGTTGTTTTTGTCTGCTTCCACTTGTCTTTGCACTAGGATGCTGTTGGAGTAAATGTGTAGTCATATTCGTTGTGTTCCCACTAGTGCTGTCAGCGTTAATCTCGTTTAAATGACGTTAACGGCACAACACGGCAAATCTCCGTTAACGAGCTACCGTGGATCGCCCCGTGCGTGGGGCTGGACAGCCAACACGTTAACGAGCTAACTGCGCTAACACACTAGCTCCCACCCATGTAATTGAGCATTGCGTGGCGTAGTTCCAAACACCAGATCTGAATGAGGGTGGGGGAGGTTCAATTTGCCATGTTGCAAGGAGAGCTTAACTTCTGTCTCGCTGGCTTGCCCTGCGCTCAGTGAATCTGCGTTCGACTACTCCGCCTAGGCTGCACTGTCGAGCGCAGATCCACTGAGCGCTCAACACAGACAGCATCGTCAGAAGGAAAGTTGATAAAATAAATTTAAAGTTTTGTATTGTTCGATACATATGTGTACCGAACCGAAAGCACTGTATCGAACGGTTCAATATCGATACGAGTATCGTTGCACCCCTAATAGATATATATAGATATAGACAGTGTTGGGAAGGTTACTTTTAAAATGTATTCCGTTACAGAATACAGAATACATGCCCCAAAATGTATTCTGTAACGTATTCTGTTACGTTACTCAATGACAGTAACGTATTCTGAATACTTTGGATTACTTAATATATTATCATGCTTTTTACAACAACGTGAATGTACTATTGCTGTGTGATTTATTACTATTACTGAAGGTCCGCGACTCCGAACTGTAGTAAAGGGACCTCTGACTAATACGGCGGGGTCCCTGTCGGCTCGTAGCCGAAAAATAGCTTTACTTTGTTGTGTGGGTCAACTTTTCTTGCGAGAGACAGAGAGAGGCGTTGAAAGACTGCTCCAACGGAACTTATTGTTTTCGGAGGAAAACACAAACACGGTGTACAGTCGAGTCTTAATAGCTTACTTACAACTGGGCTCGTCAGGCACTCTTCTTGGCTGCAGTGGTTATTATTATATTTACATGCTTCCAGCTCCCGTTTTTCCTCGATGACAACTCGTACCTTTCCACTCCCCTTTTTCTCCCTCCTCGCGCTCACAGACATATAACGTGTATGGCAGTGCATTCTCCCTGCAACACGGACTACACTGCCCATAATGCTACATTCTTTAGAGCTATGCTTGTAGCATTCTGCCTGTTAGCTTAGCACAACAACAACAACAACAACAACAACGAAAAGGCGCTCTCTCACCCAGGAAACACACAGTCGCAGAGAGAGAGAGAGCGTCACCATGTAACCATGGCAACCGTAACGCTGCCGCCTGGAACAACAGAACGTAGCTGTCAAACAAAACCCAAACAGTCCTGACCCGCGACAAAATGAAACAGGAAAGTACCGCAGTGTAATCCATTTATTTCAACAAAGTAACTTTATTCTGAATACCACCTTTTTAAACGGTAACTGTAACGGAATACAGTTACTCATATTTTGTATTTTAAATACGTAACGGCAGTACATGTATTCCGTTACTCCCCAACACTGGATATAGATACATACAATGCTGAGGATGATGTACATCAGAGGTCCCTAACCTTTTTTTTGCTACGGACCGGTTTATGTCTGACAATATTTTCACAGACAGGCCTTTAAGGTGTCGCTGATAAATACAACAAAATAAAAGCAGTACTGGTACCAAAAAAAAGACGATTTATTCATAACACACGGGAAAAGACCCAGGGATAAAAATGATAAAAACAAATAATGATAAAAACTGATTAAAAACCCCGAAAACCATCAATTTCACACCCAAGCCTCAACTCTCGCAGCCCGGTACCAAACGACTCACGGACTTGGCCTGGGGTTTGGGGACCGCTGATGTACATGATGCAGTGGTAGACCGTGATCACCAGTCAGTATTGGTAACTAGTAAATGTGTTTGCGGAGATGTAAATGCTGTGATGTAAAAACTACAGTCTTTTCTTCACAAATGTAACTGTGTTTAAATCTAAAGTTGAAGCATTTGTACATTTGATCAGTTGCTCAGCTCTGATATGCATTCACATAAGAGTAACAGAGTGCTTTTCAACACACAGCAATCACTGACAGTACAAAGAGTCCCAGCTGATACATCTGCTCACTGTCACCCACCTGTACCCCATATGAGAGCCACAGAGGTTGGCACTGCACCAGATGCATACAGTCTGGAATAATAACCATTTACAGAGCGATTTAACAAACATTATAGCCCTGTATGGTATCCTGCTGAGTAAGATATTCAAAACAATGGCTCCATAGATCATTTAGCCATCATGATGGGTATAAAAGTGACAGAGAGCTTGGCTGGGCCAAGTACGAGTGGAATCAGGGACAGAATTGACGACCAAAATGGGCAGAGTAAGAGAGAAATTTACAAACTGTTGCTGTAATTGAGACCAATAAACACTTGATTAAATCATACATTAAACTGTTTTATTTTCAGATCATCTTCTATGAGGACAGGAATTTTCAGGGTCGCTCCTATGAGACCAGCAGTGACTGTGCTGAGCTCACCTCCTACCTGAGTCGCTGCAACTCCTGTAGGGTGGAGAGCGGCTGCTTCATGGTGTACGAACGTTCCAACTACATGGGTCACCAGATGCTGGTGAGAAGGGGAGAGTACCCTGACAACCAGCGGCTGATGGGAATGAGCATGAGCGACTGCATCCGTTCCTGCCGCATGATTCCCATGGTATGTAAGACCTGAAAATATATAGAAATACACAGAAACTATGGGGTACCCCACATGTTTCAAAATAAAAGCATCTATCAGGCACTGAGAATGTTTTTTGCTTGCATGTGCTGTGCACAAACTTGTAAGCTTCTTAATCATTTTGTGCTTTACTTCTATCTACTTCTATTTTCTGCAGCTATATGTGTTAAACAACAACTCTAATATTGCTGATAAAGTAATGATCTGTCCTTTCACAGCACAGAGGGCCTTTCAGCATGAAGATCTATGAGAGGGATAACTTCGGTGGTCAGATGCACGAGCTGATGGACGACTGCGAGAACATCATGGACCGCTACCGCATGTCTGACTGCCAGTCTGCCAACGTGATGGATGGCCACTGGCTGATGTACGAGCAGCCTCATTATAGAGGCAGGATGATGTACCTGAGACCTGGAGAGTACAGGAGCTTCAGGGAGATGGGAATGGGTCCCACGGACATGAGGATTGGATCCATCAGACGTATCATGGAATCCTGTTAGGCAAGACAGACAAAATAAATAAACTGTTAATAAACAGTTCATATCTGTTTCAGTTCATCATTTGGGTCGACTTCCCTGGCAAACTCACAAACCTGAGAGAAAAGTGCATGAATTATCAGCAACTGGCTGCTCTTACTGTTGATAGTTTATCCACAGTGTCACTTAATTCTTCTACTTATGAAATGTGTGGTGTCATATGAAGCACATGCCACTGAAAAATAAATTACTTAAATGTAAATAAAGCCGACATTACAGAACAACAGTTGTCTTTTATTTATGTTAATGCATGGTGCACTCCTGGTTAGCATAGGGCTGCTTTTCAGTCAGTTTAAATTTCCTGTTCTGCTCTGTGAAAACAGAAACAGAAAGTGTGTACATAAGAACATCTTTTGGTTTTATTGAAATACATTTTGTGTGGCAGAAATAACAGCGATGCATAAATCAGATGTATACAGGTAACATAAATGGTTAGCACACACTACACACAGCGCACCCAGTAACTTATACTCAATCCCAGCCTATTGGTCTTGATATGTCATTATGTCTTCAGACTTTCTACTTGTTACAATTCTCATAATGGCCATCAATAATGAAAGTGAAGGGTAATGATAGCTCTACTTGCCCTGCGTGTCCTAAAGATGGAGATTTTACAGCTGTGGTGAGGACACTGCATATAAACTAAAAGAAGCTTCCGCATCTTGTTTGTTCTGGATCCTGAAGGAAGGAAGATTTAGAGCCACAAGAGAACACTTTACTTTTATGTAAGCTAGCAAGGTCATGACAATGTTGGAACACAGCTGTTTGACAAGAATTTAAAAGGGCTACTCAGTAATGGTCTTTCGCATCAGAGCTGGCTGAAAGAGCATGGGTCCCAAACTTCAATGAGCTGTGGCACTGTCATCTCATGTGAGGGCCACTTTAGTGTTAAGGTTGTACAATAAAACAAACAAACAAATATTTATGAAAATGTAAATTTTTTTTCTCACTCTTAACTAATTGAAGCCTTTCATGAACTACCAAATGAATATAATAACTATAACTGTTTGTATTTAACAAAATGACAGTGCAGACATAAGTGAAAACTTTTCTTTACAAATAACTAACAAAGTCAATCCCTCAACATGTTTGTGCTCTCTGCTCATATTGCCTTATTAAATCACTTTGTGCTTTTTAAAGAACTTATTTTAACATTGGACTCAACAACAAACAAATCCTCCCCAAATTGCATTATATTTCTTCACGTAGGGGTGATGTAGGCCGCAAGTGGCCCCCGGGCCGCGAGTTTGAGACCCCTGTTGTAGAGCGTGGAATATTTAATTTTTGTGTTGACAGTTTGGATTTTTGAAGCAGGCAAAGTCTTTATAAGCTGAAGGTTGCTCATTTTGGCCTTTACATTCTCGAGGTAATGCTGACTGAATATGGCAATGTTTTTCTGGTGGAAATGTAACAAAAACATTATAGTGGGATTGTTTAATCCCACTATAATGGGATTAAACAATCCCATTATAGTCCATAATATCCATATTGCACAGGCTCTCCACCATATCTCCCTGACAACTTATTTTTTTCTGTTTTCTGATCTGTATACAATCCATAACAAGTAGAAAGTCTGAAGACATAAGTGAAGTTATCTTTTTATGGAGCACAACCATTGCAGATATAAATAATTTGGTGATGCTTTTCCTATTAAAACTGGTCAAATTGCCCACTGTGATAAATGTCTATACCAACCTGATCTCATGTTGTCTGTTCATTTGAACCAAATAAACAGCAACTCTGCAGTGAATCTTATTAAATGGTATCCTGACAGACTTAGTGCTGGATGCTGTTTTCTAACTTCATCATTTTAACTTGTTCACATATTAGTATTCCCACAACTTGCACTCCTCACGAGCAGCCAAAAAATGCTCAGTTTATTTAAATGATTAGTTCAGAGGAAATTGATTACATGAAATGTTTCAGTTATTCATGTTTTTAAATCTTATCATGTTGCTCACTTGTAGCTGAACAAATTTCTAAAAACAAAAGAGAAGAAAACACTAAAACTTTCTACCTTTACATATTGCACAGGCTCTCCACCATATCTCCCTGACAACTTATTTTTTTCTGTTTTCTGATCCGCATCTAATGCTCTACTTAACTGGACAATAAATCAGTTTTTGTGTGTTTTCATACCTCAAAAAAGGAAATGATCTCTACAGTGTTCATGTTTATATTTATAGTGTTTTATATTTTTACATAAACATATAATGACTTCAAAAACATCTGTTAGTAAATGAAATGTCCTTTACACTGAAGACAGAAATGGTTGTCATACTACAGTTGGAAGCTTCTATTTATTTTCTTTATGTGTAGCAACAATACCACATGTATACACTACATGCATTTCCACTAGTGTGGCGTCACAAAATAACCCTTTAGTTCCCTGACTGCTCAGTAGGCTTCTATGCTGTGTTGCTGGGTCAGGGGTTTGCACAATAGACGCCACACATCCTATGTTCCCACGCTGCAGGTATAAAAGTAACAGCTACCACTGACAGGAATACACAGAAGCCACAGCTCAGTCCTGAGGAACCACCAGAAGACCGTGACCATGGGCAGAGTATGTAAAGCATGGGAAAGATGTTTATTCATTAAAAAAAACAATCTGTGGATTCCTATTCTAACGAGCTTTGTTGTTCTTTCAGATCATCTTCTACGAGGACAGGAACTTCCAGGGCCGCTCCTATGAGTGCATGAGCGACTGCTCTGACATGTCCTCCTACCTGAGCAGGTGTCACTCCTGCAGGGTGGAGAGCGGCTGCTTCATGGTCTACGACCGCCCCAACTACATGGGAAACCAGTATTTCATGAGGAGGGGCGAGTACGCTGACTACATGAGCATGATGGGCATGAGTGGTGGTATCAGGTCTTGCCGTACGATCCCCATGGTAGGTGTAAAGTGGTGGTACTTCCATATAAGACCTTTTTGGAATTAACATAAGTTTCATGCTTAATTTTATTTTGTCTTGTGTCTATAAAACAGTACAGAGGCCAGTTCAGGATGAGGATCTATGAGAGGGAGAACTTCGGTGGTCAGATGTACGAGCTGATGGACGACTGCGACAGCATCATGGACCGTTACCGCATGTCCGACTGCATGTCCTGCAACGTGATGGATGGCCACTGGCTGATGTACGAGCAAGCCCACTACAGAGGCAGGATGATGTACATGAGGCCCGGAGAGTACAGGAGCTTCAGGGAGATGGGAATGAGCGGGATGAGGTTCATGAGCATGAGGCGCATCATGGACATGTGCTAATTTTACATTTTGACTTCAATAAATGATATAAATTTCTAAATTCTTGTGTCATGACATTTACTTTCATCACTGTGAACCTTTTTAAGATCATTCATACTGAATTCAAATGCATTGAGTATCAGTGGAAACCACCGAGTACAAAACATGTTTTCATTCTTCTTTTGAATGGCATCTCCAAAAGACTGAATTACCACCTGTTTCTATTTGATTTGTAGAAGTCAGCTGTGGTAGACAGCGATATATGGATATGCATCCATATATATGAAGAGATTTGCTTCATTTTGGGTTCAGGGTCAACAAATTATCAGTATTTATTAGTAGTAGTCATTGTTTTGGAGCATCAAAGTGATATAGTTTATGGATGTAGTTCCATTCTGCCAGCTGAAAAGCACAATGTCAGCAGTAGTGATGTTCTGATTTGCAAAAGGAGAAATTAATCTGAAAGGCAATAACAGTACAAAGATATAAGGAACATAATTGTGTAGTGTTTTTCTTCAACTATCTGAGTATTCAGGTGAATATATTTCACCAAATCTTTACCCTGATTGGTTTTGACAGACTGCTCGAGAGCCAATTAGAATGCCTGAATAAGTAACATGACCACAACAGAGATGACGTTTGAGAACTGACCGATAAAAGCAAGGCACCAACGAAAAGTCAGTGGCTCATATGGAGAAACTGGAAGAGTAGGTTTCAAATAAATTTTACCAGCTGACCATATTTGATGGTTGTGGAATTCCAGGTGGAGTTTATCTTTTTTTCTTACTGTCCCTGCATGTGTTTCTTCTAGATACTCCAGTTTCCTCTTACAGTCCATATGCATTAGGTTAATGGTGATTCTCAGTTGGCCATGGATGCAGATGTAAGAACATGTGGCTGTCTGTCTCAGTATAGTAAGAACATGTAAACCCCAGCCATCTAAGGATTCAAACCCAGGACCTTCTTACTGTGAGTCAGTGATGCTAACCACGGAACCACTGTGCTGCCTCTAAATCCAGTTCCCCTACAATCCTAAATGATTTCAGATCATTTGCACTTAAATCAGTTTTGATAAAAATATTTGAAAACTGGTGAGGTAGGCGATCTTGAGAAAAACAGCAGGTGGTTGACCCGGTCTCTCTACAGGCTAGTGGGAAGAGTAGAAGATGCCACAGTAACTTTGTTCAACTCAGTTTTAAAAAACTTGGAGAGAAAAGGTTCTCAGCCACAATATTAAGACCACTAATGAGGCGAGGTGATTAATGAGTATTGATCATTCTGTTACAATCCTTTGCTTTTCCAGAAAAGTTTAGAGCATTGCATTCCTGTGGATCTTACTTTGACACTGAGCGTCTGCCTGAACTTAGCTCTGAAGTGACTTGTGACACACAACAGAGATTCCAAGGCTTTGTTTTGACATCCAAACTCCCCAGATGACAGTCCAATCAAAGAACTCCTTAATGAGCAAGAACAAACCTTTCCTCCACAACTGCCTTTTAGAAATGTACTGCAAACACTTTAAAACTACTTCAACAGAGGGAACATGTCTGTGTGAAAAGAGGAAGTAAAGCTTGTAGAAGTGCAATGAATACAGTTATTTCCTTTTCTAAAGTGGTGTTTTTTCAAGGTGTTTGATCTTTTTTATGAAAATAGTTTATGATCAGAAATTATTATCAAAATTATTCAAAAGAAAGACAATGAAAGTAAAAAAAAAAAAAGACTAAATACCTAATGATCTCACGGCCCAATTCCTATTTTTAAAACTTCATAGCAATGGAAAATGTCAAAAGATGAAGACTAAAGAACATATACATTCATCTGCACAATATGAATCTGCTGAAATCATTTATTCTGT